CCTGTATTAATATGATGCACTGTTACTAATCCTATTAATTCAAACCTTATATACTTTAAGTTCACTGTCATGAGTAAACAAACACACGTACAATATATACGTTCTGGCACAACAAGAAGCCTAGTCTTGTTCTTTTTATTTGTCCTTTTCAGGGTTACTGAGAAGGGGTGGAGTTTCCTGAAACTGGTAATAAGTGGTAAATCGTTTAATAGATTGGGCTTCCTATGCACTTTTAGTATTTTAAATGTTGTTACTTGTTTTGTGTTTTTAAATAAAAGTGTTTAATATTTATATCAACCGCCTACTATATATATATATCAATCATCTGCTATAATAAACTATTATCTGATACTTAACCTTTCTGTCTTCACCAATTACTTTTTAATTACATAAATGTTAACTCTCTCAAATTAATTACAAACTGTTAACTGTATATTAAAAAAACAATGTTCTTCATTAATTAAATCTTTCTTGATGAGAGTAAAGCATGCTTTGTGATCATATTTCATATTCAATTAATTTATATCTGTCTAAAAACCATAACTCGCATTGTACAGAATAAAAACTTTGACTTAAAAGACACATACTGCTTTAAGATGAAATACATTTTGGATTGATAAGTTCAGTCCGATTATTATCCAATAATTATAATGTAGATATAACACGCAATAATGTTTTTTGCATACCCTAAACTCAAATTTTTAGGATGAATTTCCTAACAAAACATACATCTCTCTCACACGTGTATTATTCTAATGTTTTATCAAGTACTTACTGGATTTCAGCCTTCTTCTGCTACTTTCTTTTAACACTTTTCTCTGACATATATCTGCCTTCACAGAAAACTTGTGAAAATAATAGCAGAAAAGAAAATTTTTAGTAGTACTTCACTTGACATGCTGAGGGTTTAGAACTCAGGATCAACTCTATTTACTTGTACCAAAAGTGGAATGTGCTTCATACTGGCCCTATTATATGTTTTTTTACAAGGGCAATATCTTAATAGATTATTTTGAGAATAGCTGTGTATAATATGTGCTACTTAATAACAATCACTTTCTGGGTGAATGGGGGAAGAGGGTTCATGAACAATGGCAACATACTCTCATTGAGTTAATACGGAAAGTTAGCTAATTCTTAATAAACATTTTAATAAGTTTCTTAGAAGGTTTAGAGAAATATCTTTATCATAAAGGAGCTGTCCTTCATCCTATACACATTATTTTGGTTTTGTTTGTAAATTTCAATATGGTTTTGTACATTTGCATCAAGTATATTTCTTTCTGAAACTCAGTTTCAGAGAAATTCATATTGCTTCATCACTTATCCTGCTGATCCTCTGGTTATAAAGTGGATCTACTTTAGTAACCTAACACCTTTTGCAGAAATCAGTTTAATCTGAAAGTACCACACTGTTCTTAATTGTAAAAGAAAAACAAGTTTAGTTCTGTTATACTTAATTTTGGTCCCGACAGATTTTTGCAAGATATATGATTATACCTTTTCATATTAACCTGACTATCCAACAATGTGCAAGTAATTTACAGTGTACATACAATCTCAAATATCTTGTAGATGTTCTTTACATCACAGTCACATGAAAATTATTGCTTCACCTTTACAGTGAACCATCATTTGTATGATTATACTTCTAAGTAACATATGCCAGGTTTTTATCATACTTTAGATTCCACTGTTAAAGAGGAGATTATGTAGTTATCTTAAAGTGTTGTAATAAAAAAATTTTTTTGCCCTTCATTGATTGAAGAAGATAAGACGGCTTCAATCAAATGTAAAACAATCATTCAACAATAGGGTACAAACAACAATTCTCAACAGTTTAATAACAATAACAAATTACAACATGGAGAAACTTACCAACAGATACATGTCGAGAAGTACCCATCATGCAGTATATGATAACAGGAAAGAACGATGTATACAGACCATTGACTGGATCTACATCTGCTAACAAGCCATATGCCATTCCTGAAATATCATTCACACATCTAAACTCTTTTTCTTCCCATCTTAACAAATAAATATTCATTCAAATACAAAGTGTGAAACATTTTGAATGAATACACTTTAAACAGTAGTTTTCTGAGTGCAGAATTAACTTGCATCTTCACACAATAAAATTTCACAGTAGTACTTGTGTCAAGTAGCATTTAGTTTGACAGGCTGATCATTATTATACTGTGCAGACAAAACAGAAAAAAAAGTAATTTACAAGCATCTTGCTCAAATAAATGTTTTAAAGAACCTGTAAAAAATATACTGATACAATATAATCTATGAGTCAATGCTATCAAAACATGTAAATGTCAAGGAGACAATCTCTTGTTCCACATGGTTGCTGACTCTCAACAGAATAAAATTTTAAATTTCTAATCCTTTAACACTTTAATATAAAATAATACATCTTACACTAGTTAACTGATTCTTTGTAATAATAAATACTATTTGTTGCTATACATTTTCTGGAGATATACTGTACACCCTTTAACAGATTTAAAATGAGAAGAAAATGGCAGATCATTATGATACAAGCTACTAACATATGCTGAAAGCTTCTGACGTGCTAACAAAACTGGTCTGGAAAATGAAATTTTACACCACAATTACATATAAAATATATAGATATTGTAAGGTATACCAATATTTTAAGAAAAACATTCCTGATCAAATTCTTAAAGGAAAGTTATAAAAATGTCAAAATTAATTCATAATGAAAAATTGTATGTCTTCAAACACAAATTTTTCTGATCATTGAGATCAGATCACTGTAAATAAACCAAGTGCTGCAAGTGTTACGTGTAACCATGTGTGTGATCTGGTCTTGCTCACTGACAGTTTGGGTCGTTATTACATAAAGTAGCATATAAATTAAGATTACAGTCCAGAAGTAAACTGTATGCTTTTAAGCTTCAGGGAATTTTACAACTGATTGAAATGAAAAAACATTAAAGAAATTTACCACTACATTTAGTCAAACATCAAGAAACAATTAAACATAAGAATAATACATTTCAACATGCATAAAGGACAATGTGCACGCAAGAGCCAAAGATTTTACACATGCTTGAATAAAACTTTAGACATTTAAACATTTCAAACTTTAATACTGTTGTGCTAAGTTTTTAAATTTAGATGATTATATTGTTGTTTTGCCACATGGAGGTCTGACATCATATGATGAATGCATGGCCTAATGTCTGGAAATTTTGCCAGTTTTAGAACAGTGAGAGTGGTATAAAGAATACAAGTTAGGTTAGAGTGAATAAAAGACTGATTTTTGACTCTGTTAGTAAGTTACACTAGGTCTAAAACAGTGAGGTTATTATTTAATTGAGTTTGAATGTCAGTTATTCAGTTCAGTTTTGTAAACTTCAAGTTTTGTGTTTGTAACCCAAAATATAAATAAGACAAGTACCATGAGTACAAGAAGTTAAAAAGAAGATGAAACTGTTGTATTAATATCTACTGTGAACTTAGGCCTATCAGTGAACATTAGTTAAGTTAGCTTGTAGAATACTGTCAAAGAAATAAACATTTTTGTTATCATTGAGTAGAATATACTTTGCATTCTAATTTGTACCAAATAAACGAAAATAACTTGTCAACAATGAAAACTATTGCAACAATATACTTAATAAAAATTGATATGCATAAAGATATAATGACATCTCGAACAAATCAATGGCATTATTTAGAGCAAAGATTAAGAAATCATGACAGTAGTTGTTTCTTTGACATACGTCTTTTTAATAAAAAAAACTATCTTGCAAAAAAAAAATACATATGTAAATTTATATTATTTTCTAACCTTGAGGAATATGCAAAATCAGGACAGTAACTGCTGAAATAAGATCACTTAAAAAATATTTGCGCAAAGGATAGTTTGGTAGCCACTGAAGAATTGGTAATCGTTGTTGAAAAAATGAGACAAGACACAACATGGAACACATGCAAGAATTTTTCATCCTTTGTGCTACCTAAAAATAAACAAATTATAAATGTTACTATTTCTCTTCTTTCATAGTTAAAGTCATATGTTACAACTTACTGGGAGCTTGACTCCTTATGTAATGTTCCTATTACTTCCCCTTTTAATTAACACTAACAATATTTCAAAATTCATTTTTTCCATATTCAGCCCATGCAGTTTGTTACTCAATAAATTAATGTTTTGTTTTTTGTCATATCATTTGTCCTATTGTTAGGATAATACTTCTAGTATATTTTACAAAGCCATGCAAGTTCCTGAAAATTTTGAATTGCAGAAGTCTAACACATACACACAGCAAATCCAAACCTGTGATAAATGAAATTTAAATGAACAAAACAAGCCCAAAAAAAATTAAAGATGCTGCATAAATTAAAAGGATCCCCTGGGTACAGACTATAATGTGGGATATAAAATATTCCCTGGGTTTTGGAGGTGACTGCGGAAGTAGGACCCACATCATGGTGGGGATACACAGTCTATCAGTCCTAACCTCCATTCGCCAGTCACACATAAAGAAATTCATAAAAAAAATAAATCAAATCATAAAAAGAAATACAAGTTAAAAGAGTGAGATGTGGGTGCTCAAGCCCACAGTGTCTCACAACCTTCACTGCCTGCAGACAGTTGTGGGAAGGTGACTGCTCTCCAAAGTATAATTAATATAAGTCCCAACCACCACCCATTAAGTCCACTGTAACTACCAATTTTCAGACTTTACATGAGCCTTTATATGTGATTAGGTATTCATCTGCATAAAAGTACTGCAAAGTTGTTTAATCGACCTTATTAAAAACTAAAAATATTTATCAGAAACTTCTAGTAAAAACTTCTTAATTTTTACTTTTTTATATTTATTACAAAATATTCTTATAATTTTATTTAGAGTTTGTTTATCAAATCCATTGAATATTAATTTTTGCATGAATATTTCAACATTAATGCTGAAGTATTGTAACTTATTAAAAATTTTATGAAATTTTAATCTGAGAAACCACCAGATAGTGGTTGAGAGAGAGGAAAGGTCAATAATGGTACACCAGTCCCAGATCTTTTGGGGGACAACAAAAAGACAAGAATAAAAATTTTAAAGATGGGCAAAAGACCCTCTCAAAGGTTCTTGTGCCCAAAAGATCTGATTCAGTGGCCTTGAGATGCAAAAGACATTGAGCACTAGAATGAAGAGGAAAAAAAATAGGAAAAGAGGACAGAGGAAGAATAGATGAGAAGTGAAAAGAAAGGCTGTATGTAAGAACTTGAATGACCCACTGGTCAGCCACAAAAGGGGTCCAAAGGTCTACAAACAGAAACATTGGGTAGCCTTGGCCCGAGTCTCCAAGGCATTAGAGACACCCCTAAAGACTTTAAGGTGAAGAAAAGGAGCCAGACAAAGTCTTAGAGGTAAGAATGGAGAAAATGAGTGGTAGAAAAGTGTTAGGACCCAAAAGGATTTCCAACAGAGGAACCAAGTAGGCAGAGACAAGGAAGAAAACAAGACTCTGGCCAAAGTTTTGAAAATGACCAACAGTAGATCCCCAGAAAAACTATTGTGATCATAGTATAGGGCTTCAGATAAAAGAAGTAATGAAAGAGGTGGGTACAAAAATGGCGAAAACGGGGAAAATTTAGCACAACAGTGTTACTGGAGATAGGGGACATCCCCCCCCAGGAATTGAGAATTCAAGAAGAGAAAAGGAGAATGGTCATAAGCCATGGCAAAGGAATTCTGGAGTTGAAGAGGATGAGGCATTTGAGAGTGGGAATGAAGCTGATCCAGGAATATGTAAACATGAACACGTGTACCTGGAGAATGAAGAAAAACCATTTAATCCTCAGCATAAGAATCATATAGTATTGAATAGGAAGAATCAAAGGACAGTGGAGAAATTGAAAGCAAAGAACCAGAGAAATCAAATGCACAAAGAGATTTGGATGAGGAACACTGTCCTCAACAGGTACAGAGAAACTTAGTGCAAACCCAGGAGGTGGAAAGAGCTGATTCAATGTCGTCGTCCTCACGGTCAGGTTACAAAAGAGGAAAATATACTTCTGACAAAGGGAAGGGAAGACAAGACAAAAAAGGCATCAAAGAACCCATGACACAATGAACTATGGCTATAACATCTTCAACAGTCAACAATCCTACAGTGGCCACAGACAAAGTAGGGGTAATGTAGGGGAGGATGTGATAGTCACACTCACTTGAGAATTTGTGGGCATTTTAACAGTACTCAAGATTTTAAAAAATTTTTATCAGTTAGTTGGTGGCAATGCAACTTTAAATTGAAATTAAAACAAACTAAAAGCAAATCAATGAAAGCTACACTGTGAAAAAAAATGCAACACGAATTTGATTAAGTTTAAATTTAAAGAAAGGTGTCTAATAAAGACAGGGCTAAGGATGAGAATAAAGTTAATTTCGAATGCAAGTGCTTATAAGGATCTACTATGCACGAAGAATGTGTAACACTGCAGTTGGTGAAGGACTATTGTTGCACAATGATTACATCATGTGCTAGTGTAGTTCAGAATATAACTTATCTTAGGTGGGAAATAGCTAAAGGCTAGTGGCTACACAGAATCTCAAGGACAGATGCACTGCGAGAGAGAAAATTCCAATCTTTTTTTTTTTATGATTATGGTTGTGTTTACCATTTATTATGTCTCTTTATTGTTTAGTTTAACTGTGAATTTTTAGCTTCATTAAAATACTAACTCACCTTCAACATAATCATTTGTATTTTGAGTAAATATCTATGTGTGTATGATGAAACTGACACCAGTTTACCCAGCAGTGACGTACAGATACTACTACTACTTTGTAAATAAATACTCTGCCAGAAACTTCACTAAGAGAGGGAGAGTCAGGAGATAGTTAGTGAATTGTTGCTGTTTATCACTCAATATTGTTATTGATATTGAAAGGTATTGTTGGAATTTTTGTTTTTGCTGTATTTTTTTAATTAGATTTTTCTTTCTGGTTCTTTTTCCCAATTTCATTTTTGCTGACTTATTAATATTTATGGTAAAGTGTTTATTAATATCAGTGTGAAGTCCTGGCCAGGCACTTGTTTATTAACTGTGTTTTGATGTTGTTATTGTTGAATATTTTTTGGTGTTGTTGAATACTGACTGTAGCAGGTTGTTCACTGTAGACTGTTACAGCACAAGGAATAGTTACTATGTATAGAGGTAAGTTTCTCCTTTCGGAATAGCTTATTTCTGAAAAAACAAAAAAAGCAATTATGTTTACACTTTCAAGAAGAACTTAAAATCATTACTTTTAATAACATTTGTATAAAGTCAGAACACAATATAAACAAATATTTATCTGTATTTATTCATGCTTGAATGTTTCAGACATTGGTCAAACAAATAACATATTAAGTAAATTAATGGAAATAACAGGTTATCTGAATGAAAAATAAATCTCAGTTTAAACACTTTCATTAATGGAGCAACCAGTTATTTACCTTTTTGTTAAAGTCTGATTTACATAGACTCATCAACAGAATAGCCAGTAACTGACCTTTATGATCAATTTAATCAAAGGTAAATGTAAATCAATTAACAGAACAATCATGTTTTGTGTACTTACCCTTGTGAGTGATAATATTTTCAAAAGATCGATTATTGGAATAACCAGTTAATATCTTTGTAATTAATCTAAGTTAAGACATATGAACTAACATAAAAACCAGTCAATGACCTTTAGATCAATTAACAGAATAACCAGTTAATATCTTTGTAATTATATATGTTTAAACAAATTAACTGACTGTATGCAGGGTCAGTCCAATGGATGAAATCCATATTGGAGAAGAAATGTTGATTAAAGTTCTGAATTTACCATGTGTATCTACATGAAATGTGACAAGCTTTTAGTAAAATGTACAACTCTTTGCACAAAAATTCAGATGTGTTACAAAGGTATTTGTACAGAAGATGCATCTGTGAATTGAAAACATTAGTCAGACTCTGACAGGTTGGAGTGCAAGGTGATGTTCACGTGAAGACGAAAGGCAAAAGACTTTCGAAACGTCGTCCTCTACATTTGTGTCTCTACAACAGGCACTATTCATCACGAATACTCTGTCTAAACAATCTATCAAAGAATATAAAATACTTTTTCTATTTTACTTTTTGTATTTGCATAACATCTATGACCTCTGAAATACATATCTATAGTTTATCAGTATTCCTGTATATTGTACTTGATATTTACTCTTCTTTACTATTAACTGTCACTAAATCAGCAACGTAAGGTAAAATGAATAGTTGATAACTAACACAAATACGTAATACTATGTTGAATATTACTCTGTAAAAGATTTTTGCATGTGCACTTTGACTCCCACTGGTGCACATAGGGTTAACTAGAATAATTACCAATTAATGACCTTTATTATCAGTTTCATCAAAGATACACAGAGATGAATTAACAGATAAATCACGTTTCATGTACTCATTTCTTTTTTACAATTTTTCTCAGTCTAGATAGATAAAGAGATAACTAGTTATCCACACACATATTTATAATCATCAATTTTAATTTAGACAAGCCATTAAAGGAAAACCATTGACATATTCATCTAATCTTTGTCAATTCAACTGCTACAATGCAATATACTTGCCTTGTTGACTAACTTTGGTTTATAAATTTCACCTGTAGAAAATCTTTCTTCCACATCTTGCTGATTTAAGGTTTGTCTTTGAATGACAATTTGAACTTTTCTTCTATTGGTGGTGCTATTTACAGAAGTTTGACTTGATGTTGATTCAGTCTGACCCTTAAAAACCACCACTTCCACCTCCTCTTCATGGCCAACCAAGGAGTGGGGCATGTCACCATTTTCATTATTCATGCTGAAGCATTCAGTTTAATAGGACATTTTTATTATCTAAATAACACACTTTTAATTATACTACATTATCAAATTAATTCCACAAAAATAGAGAATGTTTAATATTATACAAATTATGTGAATTTTTAATATAATAATAAGACTGAAATTGAAAATGAGGTGGTTTGTAATGTACAGATTAAAATATTATGCTTCTTAACATTGCTTAATTTAGTGATTCCAAAGGGATAAATTAAATGGGTGCTACTATAGCGTGTGATCCACAAAGATAGTAACACTAACAAGTGCAGTCTATACAGATACTATCATCATCATCACCATTTAACTTTCATTTATTTGCAATTGTTACCATTTATCATAAATAACACTTTTAACCTAATAAAAAAAAATACTAAAAAAAAGGAACTAATACTAATAGAGTAGAAAATACCATAACGTTTTGGGGGCAGATATAATCGGAATGAAACAAGTTCCAACAATCAAGACTAGCACAATGATAACCTAAATTTAAGGTACTCTTTTGGAACACACAACTTATTTAATTATTATTATTTGGTGAACAAAAACGTGGATAGATATAAATTATTTAGCAAGAAATTATGTTTTAGTAAATCATTAAAATGGTGATGATGATAGTATCTGTGTAGACTGCACACTATAGTGTAAATATCTTTGTAGACCACACAGTATAGTAGCACCAATTAAATGTATGTAAAATGTACTAAAGAAATAGAACAAAGTGTTCTACATGTAAACACACTACTAAAGTGGCTACAAATCATAATTTTCTAATAAAAATAATTATTTACAGTTACTTTAAAAGTCCTGAAAAAAATGCAGTAAACCTGTATAGAAATTTTAAAAAATATCTTCAGAAAATTGAATGAATATTGAATTATAAAAGTTAATAAATAAGCATTAAAGAAGATAAAATTAATACATAAGTTGAAAATTAAATGAGAAAAGTTTTGTTTTTACAGTAACATTAAGTGTATACGAGCGAGCGTGTGAATGTTACTCAAAAAAAAGGTGAAACAACCATGAATGGATCGATTCATCTGATAATTATCCACATTGAATAAAGACAGCTTATTTAATCACATGTGGTTGTGTCAAGAAATTTAACTTTAGATCAAGTTTCCAAAAACACATCCATAACTTGCTTACAATGGTGGCTTTGTATAAATAGTCATGTGATTTTCATCAGAATAGAAGAATGTGATCTGTATTTGGCAGGTGATTCTTCAAATAAACTTTAGAAGAAACATGTATAATGACTAACCATACATATCAAATTCACATTGAGGTACAGAGAAACCAGAACAATCTAACACTTTCACTGTTTCTGATTGGGACAAAAAATTAAAAATAAAAACTGAGACAGTCCTAGATTAACTGGGATGTGTAGTAATCTTAATCCTTACAGGGTAAAAAACTACTATCCTAAAAGAAGTGTTCTCCAACCTTAGGTTTGTGAGAGAAATGTTAAGAAAGTAAATACAGATACAGCTGTAAGTAGAGTCATATTCAAGTAGATATCAGGTGGAAATAAGATTGTATATAGAGCTTAAAAATGGTAAAAATGGCTATGTGAGCTTGGAGGAGGCACTAACCCCAACTATATCTATGCAGCCAATCCCACCCTTGCAAAAGAGCCTATTCATAACCCAAATGCTGATAATGCAGAACATATAGTCACAAGTGTTAGACAGAGCATATCAACAGGGCTAACAACCACTGTCCTGTCATTTTATGGTAAAATTGACAAGGATATAGAAAGTTTCTATGAAGTAGATGAAGCAGCTGGGATATCACACTGGTCAGACGTGCAAAAGGTGAATATGTGAAGCTTAAGTACGTCATGTGAAGCTGAAAGAGTCATTAAGGTTTATGATGAGTTACAAGTAACAAATGATTTTAAAAATTACATCAGAGGTTGACAGATGAGCTTAGACATAAGAAAACTTCTAACATTATACTCAAACTGATTAACATGCATATTCAGTAATGCTGGGAATCAATCTGTGTCTTTGAGCATAAGTTGCAGTAACTAGGAAGTAGGTTATGAAGGACTTATAATCACTCAAATGAAGTTATTATTCAGAACACAATAAATCATTAAAAAGGACTAGCTAGTAGCCTCATGTGATTGAATGTTAAAAAAGCCAAGTAGAGTTAAAATATGTTGTAACTAGAAAAGAGATCAGAGAAAAATAAGTATAAATCAAACCAATATTAGATACATTCTTTCATCAAAAACACATCTAAAATTAAACTAGGTATTCCTGATCACCTGAAGTATATCAACATTTTAAAGCAAGGTCACCTTACTAAGTATTGACCTGTTATTGCATACTATAAAGTACCTTCCACAGGTATATTGAAAAGCTGTATGCTGACATAGATGTGAGAAACACACACACACACACACATAAAAGTTACAGGTGTGGAATGTGCATAGAGATAGAGCCATTCAAAGGCATAGAATCTGACTCTCGTGTGCATGTAGCAGAAAAACTAAGGCTCAAACAGCTGTTCAGCAAAGCTTCCAGAAACGTAAAAAATGATAAGAAGGTAAAACTAGTTCCTAAGCAATAATAAGCTAGTATGGAGAGTAATAGTATCAAATGAGAAGAAAAGCTAACAAAAACAGTAGTAGATTTAAGAAAAGTAAGAAATTTAGGGTAGGAGAAAACAATGTAAAAGTTAAAAGAAACAAGGGCAGAGAAAAAATAAAAGAGGCTACATAAATAGATAAAACTAACAATGTCAGTTAGAAGAAACTACATCCAAGATAATTGTACCTAGACGTCTAAAAAGTTAATTCTATAACACGCTAGTTTCTTGGTAGCACAATTAGCTAATAAAAAACAATAGTATAAGCAAGAGAAAAGATATAAAAGAAATTATGTGAATCTTATTTAGAATATCAAAAATGAAAGATTAGTCTACATCTGCAAAATGCACCATTAAATAATATACCAACACTAATAGCCCTATTTCAAATTATCATACTGAACATATTAGGCCCCTTACTCATTAGTTATGTTAGAAACCAGTATACTTTAGTTTGTTTGACAAGGTACCTCAAGCAATGAGCTTAGCAGATTAAAAATGTAAAAAAAGATTGCTAAAGCTTTTGTAAATCAGGTGTTAGAAAGACATGGAATTCTACAATTGAAAGACATTTCTAAATAGCTGGGAATAACAAAAATAAAAACCATCATATATCATTCATTAGCAAATGGATTGGTAAAAGGGTTTACCAAGACATTATTAGACATGACATCACATTACTGTGATACATAACTTGGGCCAAACAAATGCCATTATTCACCTATAGAAGTACAGATAATGAGTCAACCCAAGAAAGACCCTACTTCTATTAAGTGGATGAGATGTGATCTATCTATGCAGGAAATATTGGCACTTAAAGCCATCATCTATGCTGTATGTGAAGACTATAAAGCTAAGATACTTAAACTAATAAAAATTCCATGTGATTTGACAAATACAAACTGAACACATGCTGTTGAAGAAAGAGAGGCATGCAAATAAGACAGCTAAAGTATGTAACATAAGAATAAACTATAAGGTACTACTGTACACTTTCAATACTTAACAGAGGCAACACAAAGAAACTGGGAAAACTAAGAAAGGTCCCTCTAGGGTAGCTAAACAACCACCATCAAGGTGAAGAAAATATCTGGCAAGGATAGACAATTAATAACAAACAAAAGAAAAATAAAAGAAATGAATCTCATTAAGCTCCACTAAATAGCAAAACTGAGCACAACGTAGACAGAAACAAACAACCCAGATAGTGAAGAGCAAATAACAGATCTTACATCAGATGATAATGAAGTACATACATTGTATAGATAACTTGGTAATAACAACAGAAGAAGAAACAAGATTTCAAGGACCACAAGTGGAATTTACAACACAGTTAGCTTGAAAACAAGCACAACACTATCACACCAGAACACAATGCTCCATGTAGGAGTAGCCTTTGTTATAACTTACATCAACATAGTTTTAACCCAGAAGTCCAATGTTACACACAAATTAGAAACCATATAAAAATTAGAAAGTGTAGTTGAATAGATCCTAGAGAAATTAGTATCACATGAATCAGGACCTAGAAATTTATCACTTCTATAGAATAATAAACAGCCATTTGACTCATCTAAGCTACTTCTACTTCTATCTACATAAAGAAAACTTGTCTTATTCAGTTTCCTTTCCAAAGGAAAATAAAGAACTATTTGTCATCTGGGGTATCCCAAGTTCTATTATCACCTTTTTCCAAAATACATAAAGAAACCACATTTTCTTGTATCCAACCTTGACCTCTAAAATAGTCATCCAATCTCCTCTAAAACTCCTTCATTGTTGTAACTTCTAACATACCTGAAGGCAAGCTATTACATAGACCAGTGTTTCTCAACCCTTTTTCTGCTCAAGACACCCCCTACACATAGTTTACAATTTCCACAGCACCTCTAATATTTTATAACCTAGTTAATAGTGGCATAGCCTGGGAGTGAGGATCATAGAGATAGCAATATTTTGATAAAAACTTGCAGCACCCCTAGAAGAATTCCACTGCACCCTGACTGAGAAGCACTGATGTAGACTGACTGGCAGTGATTGCTGTATTAAATTAAAAGTAACACTTCCTTAACTGTGGGTTGTGTCCAGGTTTTTCCCATTTTAAGTTTGCATCCCCTAGTCTTCTTCCTACAAATGTTTTAAAATATTATCTGGATTTAATGATTGCACATCTATAATAATTTTTAAATCATCAATAATGTACCTGAAGCATATAATATACCTCTTCAGCAAAGATATTCCTAATTACAACCTTTCCTCATATAATACTCCTCCCAGTCTTGAAGCTCTTCTCTGAACTCTCTACAATAACTCATCATCATCCTTTTTTAAATAAGATGACCAATTGAGATCTGAACAATTCTTTATACCAGTGCTTCTCAACCTTTTCCAATATCATTTACTCCTACAAGTTTTCCCATAACAATTCACTCACCTCAGTTAAAAAAAAAGACAAAAAAATTACTAAATTAAAATGCAAAATTCTTTATTATGACTTAAATATACATGAAACTACAACTACAATGGATACAACAAAAAAATAAATGAATTTATTAAACTGCAACTACAATGATACTTGACTGTAACACATAACAGGTAAGATTTTCTTCATGGTGAAAGAAAACTAGTAAGACTCTTGGTGCTAGCTTTCACTCGCTACGTGGTAAATTTCCTCTGTGAAAGTACTACTATTAGTATTACTCAGGTACATGAGTATATACTTTAGTTCAAAACGTACTAGTTATAACAAAACCAACTTATGAAAAAAAATTAAAAAAGAAAGAAAGGGTGGGCATACACTTTTATATAAATATTTTTACTCTAATTTTAAGGTTGACAATAAGTATAAAGTAAAACTATATAAAGACAAAAACACAAAACTCTATAACAGTATAACTATAATTATAACCCGAACTCTAACGAAAACTGGACTTTTATTTGTAATGTCAGTTTTATAAAGCGCTCGGGTTATACTTATAAGGTTTTGTACTTTTGTCAGTTTAAAACTTTTAATACAAATAATACTTGTTTTTAACCTACGTGTTTTCCTTACAACATACTACTCAGAACTCTACACCACAGTGAAAAACGGATCACTTTTACTCTAATAGTAATATTGTAACTAAAGGCTAACCCGTAGTAACCGTAATACTAATTACCATCAAGTTCTGACTATCGCCCAGTAACGACTTTTTAAGTCCCTTATCTAGAAGGCAAAAATATTATTACCTTATTTCATTATTAATCACATCCCACACAACATTCTCAATTACATTTCAACCCTACAACTTTTACAAGTTAAACAGGGATCCGTAACTTTTTTAAATAAATTAACTTACTTCAATTTCAGATGCTATCTACTTCATTTATCCAGTCTGATTTAACGCATATTATAATTCCAAGCAGTGGTACTGGTAGTGGTGTGATGGTGATAAATAAGGTTAGGTTAAAAGTAATAAAACTAGGATTGTAAACAGTATTCTTCACTTCCTTTTTTTTTTTTTTTGCGAGTTATGGGGGTGCCATCAGCAGATGATATGCCATTTAGCATGAAGGAGACTTCACTTCCTAAAATAAGAACAGTGGACTTATTCCCCACCTGTATCTATACTGTTACGTCTCCGTTTGGAACGAAGTTACGGAAAATCAATTAACAAACGAAACTTTAACGACACAAGTCTTTACTTAATAAAACTGGTTTATTCTTTCGAATATAACTCTGCGATACACTTAATCTCAATACTCGCGCTAAAACAACACTGTAACGAACGAACGTTAATTTCAACAATACCGTGTGACTGCAGTTCAATACTCACTATCTATACACACATTACATTACCTTCTTTTATATACCAGCGTACCCTATTTCTAGTAAGAACTTGAACATTCGTCAAAGAAACGTTGCGTTCTAGAAACGTTGCGTCACAGTGTCATGTGACTCGCTGACGCAACAATACATTCTTACAATTCATGC